GACCTGCTGCTGGCTGCCGACCTGTGGCGCTGCCTGGGCCGCTCGGTGCCGCAGTTCCTGGAGCAGGTGTGCAGCCGCGTGGGGCAGTGCCTGCCGGAGCTCGGCTCGCACGAGCTGGTGCAGCTGCTCTACCTGATCGGGGAGGGCCGGCGCGCGCCCGCGGACCTGCTGCCCCGCCTGGAGGGGGCGCTGCTGCGCTGCGCGGAGCAGCTGGGCCCCGAGGAGGTGGGCGCCGTGAGCCTGGGGCTCTTCAAGTCGCAGAGCGCGCTGTCGCAGGGGGCGGTGTGCCGGCTGGCGGACCGGGCGCTGGAGCTGCTGCCGGACATGAGCAACGCCGCGCTGGTGAGCGTGCTCAAGCTGCTGCGCTTCAGCCACCTGTACCACAAGGGGCTGCTGTCCGCGCTGGCGGCCGAGGTGCCGCGCAGGGCGCCCGCGCTGGGGGCCCCCGCGCTCATGCACGTGGCGCTGGCCTGCTCCTCTCTGCGCTTCGTGGACGAGCGGGTGCTGGAGGCCGTGGCGGCGGAGGTGCCGGCGCTGGCCCCGCACTGCCGCAGCAAGGACGCCGCCAAGCTCCTCTGGGCCTTCTGCTCCCTGGGCTACCAGCCCAGCAACACGCCGGCCTTCCTGTGCAGCCTGACGCAGCAGCTGCGCGCCCGGGCGCCGGAGTTCGAGCGCTACCCCGAGCACCTGCTTACGGGCCTGCTGGCCCTGGCCTTCGTGGGCCGGTTCCCCCGCGACCTGCTGGGCCTGGCGCTGAGCCCGCGGCTCGTGCGGCGGGCGGCCGAGGTGCCGCACCTGGAGCTGCTCAATGACCTCCTCACGCTGGACGGCACCGTGGGCCTGGAGCTGCCGGACTGGGACGGGCCCCGGCTGCCCGCCGAGCTGCGCCAGGAGGCAGTCCGGCGGCTGTGGGACTTCGCCCAGAAAAACCAGCTGCAGAGGCCCGAGCTGCGGGAGGCCGAAGCGCTCATGGGGGAGCTGCTGCAGGGGGCGCACTTCGTCAGGAGGCGCATGATCCTGCCACACACGCGCTCCGTCGACCTGGAGGTGCACCTGGACCCCGCCGGCCGGCCCGCTCCCCTGGGCATGCCGCCCCTGCCGCAGGACCCCAGCGGGGGGCGCCCCCTGCCCCGGGGCTGGGAGGAGGACTCGGCGGGGGTCCCCATCACGGACGGGCTGCTGGCCCAGCTGCTCGGCACGAGTCCCACAGGGGCGCAGGAGCGCCAGGCCCCGGACCTCGCCGACGGGACGCTGGGGTTCCCGACAGGCGCGCCCCCGCCGCCCCCCCCGGGGGCCCCGTGCAAGCTGGCGGTGCAGGTGTCCAGCCGCAACCACTACTGCTACAGCTCGCGGCTCCTGCTGGGCCTGCACGCCATGAAGAGGCGGCAGCTGGCGCTGGCCGGGTACCGCGCCGTGGAGCTGCCGCCCTGGGAGTGGCTGCCCCTGCTGCGCCGCTCGCGCACAGAGAAGCTGGCCTATCTGCACTGCAAGGTGTTCGGCGCTCCGGAGTGAGCAGGGCCGGACAGGGCCGGACAGGGCCGAGCTCCGGAGTGAGCAGGGCCGGACAGGGCCGGACAGGGCCGGACAGGGCCGGACAGGGCCGGGCTCCGGAGTGAGCAGGGCCGGACACTGCAGGGCTCTGGCCGCTGCGCAGGAGCTGGTTCTGGGGTGATGCATCGTTTGGAAGGAGATCTCGGCGACGGTCTGTCTGCCCCTCGGAGTGCTGGTGTGCTTGGTGTCTGCGCCGTCACGCGCGTCCCCCCGCCTGCCGGACACTGTGGAGTCTGCAGCTGGACTTTCCCTCCTGCCCCTCGCCCACGGGGGGCTCCTCGGGACTGACCGCTGCTCACGGGCAGCTGGGCTCCGCCCTGCCTCGGGTCTGTCTACTCAGCTGCTGTTGACACATCAATAAATCAGAGAAACCCACTGCTGTGCTTTGTTTTCATTTCTGTTCTCTGGGGAGGGGTGGGGTTGTGTCGAATAGCTCGTTGGCGAGAGGACTGAGCACTCAGGGCTAGAAGGTTTCTTTGTGTGCTTGCGTTTGTCTGTGCCTCTGTCCTCTGTCAGTACCTCGTGTGTCCTGGAGGTGGCAGTGTGGGCTGGAGCTCTGAGCCACTGCAGAGTGTCTAGAATGAAGACAGATTGGTGCAAGTGAAAATGCCATTAAAGCCCAGATAAATAATTTTCACTTTAATGCTACTGGTCTCTACATTATACCCTAAAGCATAAGAGCACTGACTGCATTTATTGCTCTACACACAGGGATGAGTTTTTACTGAAATTGGTATTTTCACTTCTGAAGGCAAATTTTCAGGATTTCATTCCTGGCCAGTTCCCATCTGTGTCCCAGGCAGGCAGTGTACTTGCAACGGGTCTTATAGGATTACTGAATTTCCTAATACTGCTCCAGCATCTAGCTGCCCTGTCCTCTGCTTCAATCGAGTACTTCTCGGAATGTCTTGTGCCGTTGTCTGCGATCAGAACGCGTTGTGGTCTCAAGTGCAGAGAGTGCTGACAGATTGATGCCTGCTGTGATGCCTTCTGTTGCCTGCAGGGTGTGCACATGTTCTTCCTGTTGGAGCTGCTCTCGGCAGCCTTCAGGGCCAAGGCCTGAGCCCAGTGTGGATCTCGTGCAGACTGAGCCTTGAGGCGCAGGCAGTCAGCGGAGATGAGCATCGCTCTGCTTCACGCCTCTGGATTGATAGTGCAGTAGCGCTTGGACTGACTCCTGTTCTAGTGCGACTGTTCTCCTTCTCCGGGAGAGTCTTCCAGACAATACAGATCCACTGGCCCCATTAATGGTGCCTGTTTGAGCCAATGCTCTGGTGCACTAGTTTGTAGAATGAAGCCGGAAAGGCCTGTAGCTCTGGAGGGTTGTGGCTGAGGATGCCGTGTCAATCCGGTGTGTAATTTAGCTCTCACTCTGCCCTTCACCTGAGACTGGAGGCTGCAGGTGTGAAACTTCCTTTTCATTTTGGTGCTTCTGTTTCACAGCACAAAGCCAGACTCCGAGGGGCAAGGCCGTGTGCTCATGGTGCCATAGCATGTTTCTTTACCTTTATTTGATTAAAACAAGGATCTTTTCATCTGGGAAAACCCATTTCCTGACACCTCCAGAAAATGAAGGGTTAATGTATCTGTAGTCTTGAGTCACAGGTGAAGGGGCTGAGCAGGGGAGTTAGTGCAGGCTTGGTTCTGCAGATGTGCAGCTCAGAAACCCGGGTTCTCATGAATTTCTGTCTCCCCACAACTGATCCACAGCACACAACTGTGAATGATCCAGGTGGATTTATTAAGATGGACTCCTCTCTTATGCAGGTTTCTAGAGACGGGGAGGTTATGGTGATCAACTTCTGCCTCCCTCACTTCCAGACCACTATCCACTGTAACCAGGTACGGCTCTCTGCTCACCCACAGTCCACTGTGACCAGGTACGGCTCTCTGCTCAC